GCTCCATAGGAAATGAATGGAGAGCGAGCGACGTCGCCTCCCGTGTGTCGAGCCCTTTAGAAGTACTAACACATGAACCTGGATTCAGTCTGAAGTCTGAGTCTGAATGAGGAACGAAACACCAGTTTTTCGTCTCTTCTGGACTTCCTGCGGGAAATCCAAATCAACGGGATTCTTTTTCCCCAAGAGCTAATGAGAGAAAGTCTCCTGTCTGGTTGTTAAGGCATCCTCAGCCTTAACTTCAAGTTTGAGCTTTTTCCTGAAAAGGGCCAGACTGCCGAGCTGAAGCTTGTCTCTTGACTAAACGGCAGATTCTCTGCGATGCTGAAACCAAAACTCTGGGAAGTCACGCTGACCACCCTCCTGACCTAACCTCTGTGACGAAGTCATCAACAGGTAGAGGCAAAGTTTTTGTCAGCTAGAGAGTCCAGCTGAGTGGGACACAGAAGCTGATCTGGGTTGTTCTGGTAATGTTGATAAGATAAAAAGTTAAAACTAAATATTTACTAATTCTCTTCTTCCTCCTTTTCTTAATCTAAAATTGCCATAAGTTAAAGTGCCTGTAAACTAGTTTTTATAACATCCAAAACTTGTTTACTGTTTGTTCAATACTGAGTGTCAACAGTCTATTGTTGTCTTGGACGCAAAACAATTAATGGAATGTTTAACTCAGAAAGTTTTGATTATTAAGTTTTAATTTGTATATAGTTAGGTTTATTTGTCTGTAAATAAATAACTTTGTTTTAGAGAATTGAACTGGACTGGAACTACAAATTATTGTGTCTTTTTCTCACTTCCATTCTGAGAGGTATTGTCTTTCATAAAAGAACTCGTGTTTCCTCAGTAATTGAGAAGATGTGTAARCCCTGGTGGACAGGTTSTTACAAGGTCAAAAYTGAAACATGTTCTAAATACTTGAAACAGCAGAGAATGAGTTTGACTGGATGCCAGATAGACACAAACACAAACATTTCAAGGCCTAGCATCCCTCAAAGCAACGCATGTCACCCACTTTACATCATCTTATGATGAAAAGATTGTAGCATTTTGTTCAAACCATGTAAATAAGGATGTGAGAGGTTTTGTGAAATTCTGATCTCTCCTGATCTGTTAGAGCAGCTGCAGTAGACTTTCAGCTGCTACCACATCAAATGTTAGCTCAAGATCTGTCATGGTCGAGCACGTTCTCATGCCCCCCGCATCAAGGTAGTGATGTCATTATGTTGACGTGGGGGGGTTCCCTGCGCGTCCGTTCTGTACGAGACGGGGCGGAGAAGAACGATGTGTTTTTACAAGACTTGAATTGCATGAAACTAACCATCCTAGACCCGAAATTTAACTTCTAGTAGCCTCATAGAGCCTGACCCTGACCACAGACTCTGAAGTTAACCATTAAAGACCGTGTAAAGTAAAATTAAATTTGTGTTTTGAGTTTGCCACACGACAGAAATGTATGTTATTAATCACCCATCTAAATTTGACTGATTATAAACATTGTTTACTTTATAAAATTAAGTCTCAAAAATAATGAAAAAACATCATTGGCTCTGTTCTGAAAACGCTGGGGGCGTGTCAGCTGGAGTTGCCAAAACCACGCCCACGCGCTGAGCGTCACTGTGTCCGTGTCCTGTACTGAGGAGGAGATGTTTGCGAAGGCTGGCAGCCTATTGGAGTTCTCCAGCCCTACTCATTCGTCGGGCGCATTTCCTCCGGGCGGTGCACCGCGACTGGTTCTGGGTTGGCAGGGAAGGACTCGGGGGCGAAGGTGGCTTGCGGCCAAGACCGCGAGCTTTACAGCACCCTTTCCGCTCCAATCTCGCTGCTTCCCGGGGCCGTGGACTCAGTCCCTCGCTGCGTCCTCTCTCCTCGCGGGCGAGTGACGTGGCCCCTCTGCCCCCGGCGTCACTGTCGACTGGAGCGAACTGTTCTCAGTGCGCCCTGACCACGTCGCACCACCTGGGCGGGGAGCGGCCCTCGTACAACCGACGCAAGGAGTCGGCGGCGATGTCGGCTACCCACCCGACCTGTCTTGAAACACGGACCAAGGAGTCTAACACGTGCGTGAGTCGGAGGGTCCCCCGAAACCCGAATCATGCACTAAATAGCCAACACTTAGAATATTTACAATGTAAGCACAAACAGCAACTTACTATGTTTATTGGGTGAGGCATTATCCCACCGTCAGGTGCAGGAGAGATGGTGATGTCGGGAGGAGAGTCCGGGAGGGAGGGGGTCGGTAGAGCCTCATGAACCAAACTACTGTCCATAAATCCCAACTGTGTCTCCAGGTAGTTAGTAAAACTATCTGGAGT